TTTCATTGATTAATTAATCGGGTGTTGAAAATTTTCACCAAATAATTGGTGAATAATCGGTGGTACAGAATATAAAAAAATAAAAATATCCACGTAATTAATATAATAAATAATATTTTATCACTTACATTCTTTAATGACAGCCAAACGAACAAAATTGAACCCATTATTATTTGAAAGAATTGTATTTCTTAAAAAAAATATGCAATGTGTGTGTTGAAAATATTTTCTTGATCTTGATGAATAAAAATTTATTATATTTTTCCTGATGAATAAAAATTTTTTTTTTAAATAAATTTAATATTTAACGGATATTCGGTGAATGACCAATTATCCGGATAATCAATGGATACAACCACTAGATTCGACTGTATACCAATAATTCGACGTGTAAAAAAAATCAAAATCTCTGGGCATAAAAAATAAAATTATAAATCGAAGCTTGCTTATTTCTACATACATGTTAAGTTATACATAATCGAATACTGCCATCCTCCTAAACCAAAGGAAAGTGATCAGTAGTCAATTGGTAATGAAATTATGCATGCCTAAAGAATATATAGATGCGAGCTACCTAATTTTACTTATCTATATCAAACATTTAAAACGTTTTGCTTATTAGACTAAGTCACTACAAAATAATATATGACGAAATAAAATATAGAAAGATTTTTTTATGTTTCAATTAAAAAAAAAACAGTAGAAAGATGTGAAATATGAATTAATTGATAAATAATTTAAATGTCTCGGTCCTGGGCCAAGGCTCTAAATATGTGCTTTATGATGAGAATGCCAAAATTTGCACCAAGAAATAAATAATTTTAAGATTTTTTGCGAGCTAGCAGCCTATTCAAGTAGGTATGAAGTTGATCATTTTTATAAAACAATGTGTGAAAAAACTTCTTTTGAACTTATTAATGAAAGTTTCGTTGATTGGTTTTGTGCTAATGGAGGTATAATTTCACCAAAAATTGCATTCAAAGACTATTCAAACGAAAATGCAGGACGTGGAATGATGGCAGTCGAGGAAATTGGGGTATTTTTGCATTTTCATTGATATATTTTTTTATACTTGTTTTTTTTTTAAAAAAAATTAATTTTTATCTTTTGGGGGCAAAAGAGTGACGAAGTTCTTTTTGAGATTCCCCGTTCAATACTTTTATCTCCAAAAACTTCTTTACTTAAAAATGAAGTTTCTACAGAAGAATATAAAAAACTTTATAAAATTAATCATTGGTTCCCACTTATATTATGTATGATGTACGAGTCACAAAAAGAAAATTCCCTATGGAAACCTTACTTTGACATTTTACCAAAACAATTTGAAACACCAATGTTTTGGACAGAAGAAGAATTGACTGAATTACAGGGAACAGGTGTTATAGGTAAAATAAAATATCTTTTTTTCTTTAGTTATAAAATTTTTGTAAATATGATATTTTTTTTTATTAGATAAGATTGGAAAAGCAGATTCGGAAAAGGGGTTTTATGAACATTTACTCCCAATAATTCAAGTAATAAATCTTTTTTAGTAAATCATCTAACAAAAAATATTTTCTAAAAGTTTATTTTTTTTTTTTTAAAAAACAGTCAAAACCAAATGTTTTCAAACCAGATGTTCACAATATAAATTTGTTTCATCAAATTGGGTCACTTATTATGTCCAATGCTTTTAATGAAGAGAATGGTAATGGTGGAGATAATAAAATTAGTAGTAATGATACTAACAATAATGATGATGATG